GAGAGAGTCCGGCGAGAACGACGCATAGGGTTCTAGAGCCCGCCACACACTCACACTGACAATACACTATACTACACTACATTACACTACACTACAGTATACTACAATACAGTATACTACAATACACTACATTATACTACACTATACTACACTAGAGTACAGTACACTACACTACATTATGCTACACCAAACTACACTACAGTGTACTACACCACAATGCACTACAGTATACTACACTACTACACTAGAGACAGGGCTAGAGTTTATACATATGTACAATATAAAATTATTTCATAATTTAATAATTTGCTCGTTTAATATTTGATTGCTGTATATGTATAATATAAAAGGCATTTATAAAGACACAAAGAAAAAATACCGTTTGTGTGTATTAACAAAAAAGGCTGTGAAAATATATTGTGCATTCGTTTGATCTTTCATTTCATTCAAATAAATCACAAAAATCTAACTTTTCAACAACCTTTCAATTTTTGTTTATTGTAAATATTCATTAATAAGGTATTTTATTAATTAATTTGTATTCCTTTTTTACATGTATATTTAATTTTATATAAAAACTGTTAATGTTTGATCAAGAAAATATGTGATTTGATTTTCTAGACAGTTAACAAACTATAGTTTTTTATTTTATTTTTTTTATTATTTGTAATTTTAAATATTAACTAATAATATACTTATTATGCATTTTACAAATATTTTTTATTTAGTTATTTGTTTTATTTTTATATAGAAATTGTTACTGTATGACAAAGATAATATGTGCAAATAAGAGTATAAAAACTATAATGTTTTCTATTTTTAATCTTTATTAATTACAATATTTATGAATAATAGTTTATTTATTATAATTTTTTATTATATGTATATCTAATGTTATACAGAAATTGTTACTGTATGACAAAGATAATATGTGCAAATAGGATTTGAGAGCTACAATGGGTTTCTGAAGAGTTAACAAGCTATAATGTTGTTAATTAATTTTTAAATTTATATCTATTTTAAATATTAATAATATTATATTTTATCATTTAAGATTTTTTAAATATTTTTATTTATTTTTAATTATATGTATATCTAAGTATATTTACAGCAAGTTTCTGGAACTTAACAGTATGAATTGTTCACAAGAGATATGAACATTGAGCTAAACAGCTTATTTTGTTCCACAGAGGACAGAAAGTGATGACAGAATTGTCATTTTTAGGTGATCAGCTCCTGTGAGGATCTCCTGTATCCCAGCTGATCTGATGGTAAATCTCCAGTGGAAATCCAGAGCTGGGAAGCCGGTTTTGTGTGTGTGTGTGTGTGTGTGTGTGTGTGTGAATGGCATGGATGGGCCAGCCAGAGGACAGCAGAGGAATGTGATGCTTTTGTCTGTCCGGGGGAAGAGAGGCTCGGGCTGGAATGCCATTGATGAGAATGGACAGAAAAAAAACGAGCCTCCAGGAAGTTTTCTCTCACTCTGGCTCTCTGTGAGAACCTCTCGCTGTCATTCTGAGCCGCTCTCAGACGCTCCGGTCCCATGAACACAACCACTGCATTGTGTAAGCCGTAAACACAGCGTCCACAAACTACAGCCGACCTCCCTCTCCGGACGAGTGAATGAAACGCATTTCTTACATCCGAGTCTGAGAAAAATCATTGTGTCTGTGCTGATGTCAGTCAAACAACCGATTATAGTCCTCTTTGTTTACTGTTGATTCAAAAAGCACTTTCACTAACCTGTGAAGCACTAACAAAATGATTGAAAAATTGTCTAATTTGTGATTTAGCTACACCCTTAAAAGAAAAGATCAAACAAAAATGAAAATGAAAATTATCTGAAAATGTGCTCATCCTCAGGCCATCCAAGATTAGGATGAGTTTGTTTCTTCATCAGATTTGGAGAAATGTAGCACTGCATCAGTGTCTCAGCAATGGATGCTCTGCAGTGAATGGGTGCCGTCAGAATGAGAGTCCAAACAGCTGATAAAAACATCACAATAATCCACAGCACTCTAGTCCATCAGTTAACATCTGGAGAAGACAAAAGCTGAAACAAGATATTTTTAACTAAAATACAAGCCCATAATCCATAATAACTCTTCCTCCAGTGAAAAAGTCCATCTCCTGTTGTCTCTCACATCAAAATCCATATTTGTTTAGAGCTGTTTAAACGGTGCTTGATCTGTGCAGATTTCTCTCCTGATTCAGATGAGACCGCTTTTTCAAATATTTTAGCCAGTTTGAAGTTTGAACATCTTAATGCTGGATTTGTTTCA